GAATAACTATTCAAATAGACTATCAAATAGTTTTAAGAACTATTCGGATATATTCGGTAAATAAACTAAATAAAGTAAATAAACTTTTACTATAGTGTGTCAATGTTCTGGAAGGATTTTAAGCACTAACTTATATAATTTATTTGTATCTTCACTGTATAATTATTATTCTTCCACATCTTTAATTATGCCCCTAAATGAAGATAAATTTTAAAAATTCTTTCTGAATCTAATACTTTTATTTGATAAGAATATTAAATTAAAAACAATATTTCTAATTAGTTGGTTATTCTCCAGTTCAACTTTAAAGATTAAGCTTAATATATGTATAATAAATATATAGTTGGATCAATAAAACTATTTTTTTTTATATTTCATGGATTAAAGGTTGTACAAAAATCGACTATGTTCGTATTTTTTTTTTTTTTAATGTATTTATTTATTAAATTATATATAACGATAAAAAGTAAGCAATTAATAGTAATTTAATATGTAAGTAACCGGTTTACAAATTTCCAGGAAAATTTGTTTTGCTTAAAATATAGAGAAATATAAATAAATAAAAAATTAAAACTACTTTAAAACAAACGTAAAAATAAACAAATAACCCAAATAAATTTTTTTTTAATGACACTAAGAGTTGATTATTATTTTTTTATAATTTCTTTTTTTATTCGTTTACAACATCCATTTAGTTTTGAAACATAACTCATATTTCAATATTTATTTTAAATTATTTCGCCTATATCATACTAGTTGGCGTTTGTTGTCTTATAAAAAATAATTGAAAGTAAAGTTGATATAAAAAATACATAGCGTTTTAAATTTTAACTGATGTATTACAGTAAAATTTTCATAAGGAAACTCAAAAAAAGTAAGGAACGAATAGGAATGAATAGTATACAATGAATACACTATATCCACTAGCAAGTAACTAATCCAGTTTCAGATACCTATACAACATTACAATATGCAATTCCGTAATTTTAATGTGTTGCCTACTCCATTATTTGAAAACTGGTACATGTACATTCTTCCGCAAATTATACAAATAAATAATACACACTTATTATAGAAATTAAAAAATGCAAAAGTTACAAGGCCAAGGTAGATAAAATATAAAAACTAGTTTACAAAATATTAATAAATAGATATGAATCAAAATTCGTGTTAAATTTTTCGGGCTTATAAAAAATAAAATTACCTTTAATAAATACTTAAAACATATAATTGATTTGAAACTTGGTAACTGTGACATTATTTTTATTCGCTAAAAATTTACAAGCATAAATTATTATTGTAAATATAATTTTTATTTCTTTAATGTTTTAATTATAAAAAAACTGATTAAAATATGTATAAAAAAACCCAACACAGTAGGGTCGCAGTATAGTTGGAACAAATATAGATGGTTTCTATCTTTATAATAAAAAAACACTTCGATTCGAATCTAGTGTTTAATTTCTAAAAATAATTTTTGGATTATTCAAAAAGCAACTCCTTTTTCCTTAATTACATTCTAAATTAATTTGTTTTGATTCAATCACTTTTTAAAACAGTTATGGCAGTTTTAAATTAAAAAAAAAAAACAGCACAGTTGAATTGCTTCATAGTAGAGACGTGGCATTGTTGAAACAAGTATAGATATCTGACAGTGATTAAAATCACTATCATAAAAAAGCTTCGATGCAAATCTGTAGATAGTGTTTAATTTTTAAAAATTGATGGATTATTCAAAAAGCAAAATGAATATTGCTTATTATAAAATGCTTATTTCCTTATTTATATTATATACAGGGTGTTCAGTAAGTCAGGAAACGGGTTTCTATTGTTCTCATTGTATAATGTATCCACTCTGTATAATGTATCCACCCTGTATAATGTATCCAACAAAATGTTGCATTACACTTGATGTCTAAGAAATTTATAAGTTTAGTTCTTGGATATCCATAAATCAATTGAGTGAAAATCATTTTTTTTATTGAATAACGATAAATTAATTATGGCGCTCTAGTAGTAGGCTAATGAAGTGAATATTAGGGATTTCGCAATATATCTACATAGTAAAGTATTATATTAATAATGTAATATCTTTAAGAATTTAAATATTCAACTTAAAATCACATTTTAAAGTAAAGACATAGTGTAATGTATAACTAATTTTAATGAGTATCTCACTTAGTAGTTTATACGTTTAGACATATATATATTTTTGATATAAATAAGTCGCTTTTTACTAATTATATATAATAATATGTATATTTGTTTTGTTATCACAAATTGTTGTCTACGAATATGGTTATTTGTACATTAAACGTTATTAAAAGAATATTATTTAAAGTCGTTAAATATACCCATTGGGATAGATAATGAAATTTTACTAAACAAATAATTTTAGTAACAAATTACTCCTATTAAATTTTCACCAGGGAACGAACCAGTTAAGTATTCTATCAGCTTACGTTCATTGTATACTATGAATAAAAGTACATATAAAGAAGTATTTTTTTACACAAAATACTTCAAATTAATTATCTTTTGAGGCACGTTTTTAATTAATTTATTAGATAATCTTACACATTTAAATATTGAACTGTTAAATAATATATTTATACTTGGAAAATACTTTTGAGCTTCGATGCGAAGCTGAGAAGGTATTAATTTTACTATGTGTTTTTATTTTTGTCTGTTTTTTTTAATGACTATTATAAACATCTATATTATTAGGCTTGGATTAAAGGAGAAAATGATTTAGGGCCCACGATCTTGACTAAAATTTTACTGGCCTATTCATGATTAATGACAGTTTTTTTTATGGTAGCGATATTTTCCATCTCAAGGTACCCCTCGAGGTCTATATAGGTCTTGAACTGACCCTATATATTATATTTTGAATACACATAAATAAGCCACGCCGTACACATTTTGGGCAGATTAAATCAGGACGTTTTAAAAAGCGCTTTCAATTTATTATTAAAAGTGGGTTATAAAGGAAATCCTATATCTTATTTATTACTTTGATATATTATGAAAATTTTAGTATATTTGATTACAAATCGAAATTTTTTAAGATAAACTCCGGGGAAAGTTTAAAGATTTTTAGAAAAAATAGATTTTGTTTTTTTTAAGTAAAATTTATCTTAGCGTATTTTATTAATTTTACTGACTTAAACTTTTATTTTCTTTAATTATTCCTTTTGTTTAAGTTTTTTTACAACAAATAGGTTGTTTATTACAAATTTAATAAAAAAAAATTATAAACTGTATTATGCAATAAAAAGTTAACTTAAATCTTCTAACATATACTGAGTGGCCCACCATTCACTGACAACTTAAATAACTTTTGATCCAGTTAATATTTTTAGTTAATTTTTTTTTTTTAATAATAGTTATACGTTAGGTCTATAGCTATATCTCAATAATTAATTTTTTTACATTTTATTAAAATATTATTTATTTTTAAATTTTAAATAAAATGTAAAAAAAAAAATCTAAGATAGCTATTTTGTAGAGTAGAATTTAAGAAAAATTTTAGTAAAAAAATATCTTATTAATATTGAGTAGTAAATATTCTGTAGTGTTTTGAAGTTTGTGAAAATTTGAATTTTCATGTATTATTTTACGGTATTAAACATTGAAATACGTATTGAGAAAAGGACAGAAGAAAACGCTATTTTTTCAATATACTTTTGAATGAGAGTGATAAGTAATAATTGCATTATCTAATTTCTTATCATGGTATTAATGCCAAGTTTGTAATGTATACACATTATCATCATATGTATACACAGTAATCATGAAAAGATAGCGTTTTCTTCTGTCCTTTTCTCAATACGTATTTCAATGTTTAATANCTTTTTTTTAATTGTTTTAATAAAAATTATATTTTTATTAAAACCATTACTTTTATGTCTTAATTGTGAACATTTTTTTATGCTATTTACATATTTGTGTATTCGTTGAAGAATAATTGACCAATAATTATATTATTTGTTGGTTTATATATATTTTATGACTTATAATTTGTTAATTTATACTTGCATAGAAAGCACTATACAAAGTGATTCATTATAAATAAGAAAATTATATTCTTAGAAACAATTGAAAATGTTCACAAAGAAAAATATTATTTGATATAAAAAACTACAATAATATGTATTAAAATTTATTTTTTAAGCCCTTAAGATATAATAGATATAAACATTAATTTTCTTTTGATAACAAATATTTTCTTGACTGATTGTTCAACAATATACAATTGTAAACTTATGTTGTACATAAGAGTATGAGTTTATTAATAAACATGAATTATTAAAGATAAAATTTCTGTATGATGGATAATATCGATTTCTACCAATGTCAAATGACGGAAACGCGTAGAAAACAGTTGATTAATAGAAATTTGATAAAAATTTGCCAAAATTAAACAAACATTAACAGAATAAAAATATTCATAGAATAAAAAAAATAACAACAAAATGTCAAATTTTTTCTTTTGTCATATCATCTAACTAAAAATAGTGGTTACTATTAGAGAAAATTAAAGTTCATGTTTATTTATCTCTTTGGAATAGAAAAAAATTGTTTAACTACATATTATTGTAGCTTTTTATATCAAACAATATTTTCCTTTACAAAACTTTTAAATTTTCAATAGTTCCCAAAAAATAAATGTCTTATTCTTCACGAATCACTTAATAAATATGTAGCCCTAAAAATTCATTTAGCATTTTTATTTATTTGTAATACATGTATATCATTACAGGCATTAAGGACATTAATATAAAATAAAATAACATAATTTTTCAAATAAATTTCACTTTATATAATCTAATAAAATATAACAAAATGTACTTAATAAAGAAAATAACATAACAAAATCAATTATTTAAATATTATTTTGGAAACTTTGATTTAAATTCAACAAAAAAATTTTTGAACACTTATATTATTCCTTAGAACTATAATTAGATAAAATCACAATATATAACAAAAATTTTATGAGATTTTTAAAATTATAAAGGACCATCAAAATAACAATTATGAAAATGCTTCAGTTAAGTCTACAAATTTAATTGTTAAACTTTAAAAATTAAACATTACTCATATATTATAGTTTCATTGGAATAATAATAACCTCAATATTGTTAAATTATTACTTGTATGGAATCAAAATAATGAAAACAAATCACAGAATAATAAAGATAATTAAATTATTAGTTCTTACGTGTACCTGAAAAATATAAATGTGAGAGGTTTTCACACTTCTTAAAATACTTTATACAAATTCTTTACTTTTTATGGAATAATAAATTATTTCAATATTCATTCTTTAATGCCTCCATTCTTTCTGCTGAAAGCCTAGCTAAAAGTTTGCTTCCAACTGTCTCAGATATCTGAGAGGACAAATAAAAATAAAATCAATAAATTTGATTATTTATGAGTAACTTCAATCCTACTTGTTTTTCTTTTTTTATTTCTTCTGGTACATAGTTTTTAAGTTCCTTTCTGATAAAAATTAATTTAATATTATTATATACATTCTACAATAATTTTATATTATACTATTGTAGTATAATTTTAACATATAATACAGTATTCAAAATATTACCTTTTTAAATGATTTACTTCAATATCCATACCTGGTCTAAATGTGGATTGAGATTTTTTTTTAACTAAAAATTAAAATAATGTAAGACATTTTTTGATAATTTGACACAAGTGTCTCATATTTTTGAAAAATATTCAAGTTTTATTTCTTAGATTATGACTTTAAGTTATTTTTTTTTTATTATGAATTAATTTATCATTACGTTTCTTTTAACTCATAATATATTAAAGTAGTTTATAAACTATACTAAAAATAACTACTAAATTTGTGTTTAGATTGTATTATTTTAAGTTCATTGATTGAAAGTTTTTATTTTATTACCAAATACGATTAAATAAAATAAATAATTTCCCAATTAAGTTAAGAGTTAACCCATCTACTAGCAATAATGCCAATTATAAACTCATTTTTCACATGCACATTAAGAGAGCCTAGGATTAAAGAAACATTATTTCTTTACTTTTTAATTGTGTAAATTTTAATTTTCATTTTTTATTTAAGCAAATAAAAAAATTATATAAAAAAAAAAACAATATAATTTTCAATATCATAAATAATACACTATTTTCATATAATGGTTGAAAGATATTAATAACATTCCAACTTTGATATGCTCCTTTAGTTCTAGACACTCAATTATTTATTATGCCACCATCTATACTAATTATAATTAGTATTATTTAGTACTTGTTGTTAGTTAAAATTCTAAACCAAAAAAAATAAATCAACAACTTATTAGTTGTCAATTTAATAGATGTCTAAAAAAGGCTATAACTTAATAAAAAACATATTTTTTTTATTGAAAAATCTCATATGTAAATATGAGATGTATCATCATGATACATGTTTATTTTAGCTCATCAACTAAAATAAAAATTCAACTTTTAGGTCCTCAAGAGACCAAAATCTTGGTTTTAAGTTTATATTTAATAAGCCTTTACCCTAGTAAAATAATTCATCAATAAATATCTAAAATAGCACTGCTAGTACCAATTTGTGTTTTTATTTTGTTACTTTAGTTCCACAACTTAGTTACATTAAAATGAACCATATCTTTAATTTTTATGATATATTTGACCAAATATTTTCACCCTGTTATACTTTCCATCTATCCTAAAATACCATATAACATTTTTCCTTATACAAAAGATAATATTTTATAGGATAGTGGTAAGGTAAGGATAGTGTATATCCTTACCTCCTCTTTTACAGTCTTGCTTTCAATAATAACACTGCTTCCTTCTTTAATCTTTTCTCTTTTTATAACAGTCATCAATCTTTTGAATATATAGATGTATTTTGCCATTCAAACATTAGAATTACAAAAACAAAAAAGAGTTAAATAATTAAATTTTCTCTTTATAAAACACAAATTTTGAAGAAAAAGATATATATGCTTAAAAATTAAGAAGGCGTTTACCTACAAAACTTGTAGGGGTGACAATTTTAAAGTGAAATATACAATATTTTTTCATTATGTTACCTTGCATACAAAATGCTCGAATATGACTTGTTAAATCTAATTGAACTACTGATCCATCAGTAGAATCATCTTCTTGGTGTGTTTTTACCTTAGAAACATCTAATCCTACAAACCACATAGAGGCTGGTGTTTTATGAGAAAAAGAAGGAGGCGTGAAAGTATCCGGATTTATATGTGAACGAGTAACAACTTTTGATAATTCCAGCGATATTGATAAGTGACGTAGTTTAGATTCAACAAATCCACGCCATTCAACAAGTTCTTCTTCAGTTTTAGCATACACAACAATACTTAGAAAATATCTATAAAAACATAATGAAAAAAATGTTTAATCGAGTTTGAGTTATTTAATTATACTGTTAATACTAACTTATATTTAGTAAAAAATTTAGAAGGTTGAAAAAGTTTTGACCATGTAGATTCACCAGTTAATATTTCTCCCATTATATCCAATCCAAACTTAAATTCTTCTTTGATAATAGAAAGTGTTGAATGAGTAACATTAAATGTTGAATTTTGATTAGGATATACTGGTGTAATTATAGGCATCACATGTTCTCTGTCTGCGATATTTATCTAATCAAAATTAAAGTTGATAAATTTTTACTAAAGTCTTAAGAATATTACTTACCCTAGGATCCCAAACTGGGTAACCCAAATTAATAGAATAATTTGATTGTAATAACACAGGTTGAGGCCATTTCCATCGTGAAAATATCAAAAAAAATTTATGAACTAAAGTGGCAGCAACAGCATTTGGGTACAACTGACAAATTCTTGCTACTAACATAGCCCATGAAACCCCACCTAAATATCCAAGAGAGTTAGAGTATATTCTATGGCCTGTAATAAATTAAAAACAAAATTTTATTTTATCAAACTTATTATATAATTACAAATATCTACAAAGCTAAACAAACTATCCTATGTCCCAATAATTTTATTATTTTATAAAATTATTAATTGTTCAGAATACCACATGTTTGTACTTAATTGCATTTTTTTTTTTATTTTATATAAATGTCAAATATTAGTTTTACTATTTTAAGTTATCTATACAGAAAATGATTGCTTCATTCATTATAATTTCAAATTATACATGCTTATACATTATACATAAACTGACTACAAGAGAAATCAAGAATACAAAAGCTTAAATACCTAATAAAAAAATATATGTAACTAATATAATAAACACCACATAAACCAAAATAATTTTTACCTTTTTTATGATACTATATTAATTACTGTCAAAAGATCACAAAATGTATTTAGTTATTAACACCATAATTTTGAAAAATTTCCCTCATCTTAAGCTATTACAATTTACATTAAGATTAAAAAAGAAATCATATATTTTTGATAAAATTAGTCGATTTTGTAATAGAGTAAAGGAATGCTTACATCATTCTAAATTATTTCAAATTAAAGCTTGTTTAAAGTAATTTATTATTAAAAAAAGAAAAACTTTCTTGTGAATTATCCTTTATTAGTAATCAAACATTAAATTCAAAGAACATATAAAGTAGATATGATGATTTTTTTTTTTTAATATTTTTCAAATACACATTAAAATATTTATAGGACAGTGATTTCAATGAACATTATTCTACAAAATGCTTCAACTTTTTATTTTTGTTTCGAGTGTCATTAACTTGATTTTTTTTTATAAAATTACTTAAATAAAACGTTTTTCAAAAAGAATACTTAAGCAAAAAGTTAATTTTTTTTAATATTTTGTTGATATTTTTAATTTACCAACAGTAACACTATTGATAAATATAGTTAGCTAAAAATTTATAAACAATAAGTTAGTGGCAATAAATTTATAACATAATTATATCAAAATTATCTGAAGCTAAAACTTAAGATAGCTTTGAAATCAAGATATTTACTTAGCACATGATCCCCAAAAGCCATGTTAGTATGCATAAAGTTGAAACAAAAATTTTCTCTTTAATACTAAAACAAATATTTATTAGTTAAATAATAAGTAGTTAATAATTTTATTTATACTATTATTAGAAAAGATAAAGCCCATATATACTCAAACTTCCAATGTGGAAAGTTAATCAATTAGGTATTGGTATTTTGTGAATACTCTTAATACTCTTAATATGACCATTCTTAATAGTGCTACCCAAAATAACAATTGCCACAACAAAATCATCACTTAAATACGAGCCTGATGATGATATACATTGGCAATCATTATAAGTTAATAAACCATTATTACTTTATTAAAATATAGCTAAATAATAGGTTATGTGATTAGAATCAAAATAAAATAATTTAAAAAAATTTTATACTAACGTTTTGCCCATAGCTTAATAGCAATTAGAGTTTTCTTAAAAGCTTCTTTATTAGGAACTAAACGTAAAATAGAATCAGTTACTCGGCATCCATTTAAACTGCGAACACATTTGGGATCTAAATTTCTTAATAATTCATCTCGTTGTAAATCCTGAAATTATATTCATAATGTTCTTAAGGTTAAGGGTAAAAACTAATGTTAAAAAAATAGTTTAGTTTTAACTTTTATTAATGAAAATACAGTAATAATAAATAGAAATTGAGATTATTTAAGTATAATTTTTGATTTAAATATGACATTTAAAATGCAGTAGTATTCTTTAGATGCATTTTGCAATGTTTGTTTGCCACTTTGTTTTCAGTTTTTGTCAAATTATAAATAAAAAGCTTATCTTGGTAGACAGTATATGCTCAATTATAAGATAAATAAAAATAAAATGTTTTATACATTTTTCTTTAATGATTACACATTTTAGCTAAATTTAAATTAATTATTTGTATTTAAGTAATTACTAGTTATAACTAATCTATTAGTAGGTCACTGATCAAAAACTAATACTGTTGTTAAAATATAAAAAAATAAATAAAACTAAATGAAAAATGATAAAAAGTAATATTTAGTAAAAACTATTTATACATAGTTATTACTCATGTATATTGTAGCTTAATATTATTTAAATTTATTATTTTTTACAGCTAAAAAATTGGTTTACAATAGCAATAAAACAGTATTAGACAGTTTTTTCTCAAGATTTCATTAGCAAATAGTGTATTAACTACATCACATAAAACCTTTCCATCTCTTATTTTTTTATAAGTAAATATATAATCTTAAGCATGTTAAAAGTTGAAAATTAAATATGTTTAATTAAAGCAATAAAGTTTATACAAAGATTACAAATATTGAAGAAAGTATATTCTAACCATTTGATAATGCATAAACAAAAACAAGCACAAATCAACTGTGTGTTTCTTATCAAAAATAAATAGTTATATAAATAAGTTAAGACAACTTTTAATTTATATCTTCAACAGTTTCATGTTAAAGGGATTATAATAATTTTAATTACTACTAAATTTAACACATATAAAGACTACCTCCTCATCAGTATACTTGTTTATAATATATTTCAATTTAAATAATACAAATATGAAAATAAAATTATAATTGCTTTTTTTTGCTGAAGTGTTTCTCTACAACTATTAATAAATTTTCTATAACAAAAGGAAAAATTATATAATAATCAATTTTATTACTATATATAATTAAATTGTAATTGTACTGAGAAACATTATTGGAAATATCTTAAAAACGTATAACTATTAATAAAAAACTACAATTTGTGAAGCTTTTATATAGTGTTTATAGAAATAATATACACTCTAAATGATTAATACGATATATTATATAAAAAAATTACTTACAATGTTCTCAGGTACTTCTCTGAAGGCTAAGCGAGCAAATAACATATCTATTTCAATTCCTTTGACTAACATTTTAATAACTGGTACAAATGCTTCTTCAACAGCCTTTAAAAAATTATAATATTTTAAGGTGTATTTATCTTAAAATTTTAATTCAAAAAAATTGTTTGTAAAAAATTGGATGAAAAATGGCAATTTTTAAATTTCAAAATAATTATTTATTTTTATTAAAATTAGAAAAAATAATAAAAATATATGTTTTTATTGTAGTAGAAAACTGTGGAAATTATTAATAAAAAAGGTATAAATCTACTTTACGGGACACCCTTTATTTTTCAAAAAGTTCGTTTTTTTATGGAGATTAAGAATATGTAAACATTTTGAGCGGAATCGTGTGGTTCAAAAGTTATAGTGTTTTAAAGTTGCGATTGTAGTTTAATATTATAGGTTATAAATATCGATAATTTTTCTTTAAAGTTATTTCATTTTTCTAATTTTAAATTTCATACCAACTTGAGAAGCATTTTTATAAACATAATATTAATGAAACATTGATAAATCGTTAAAAAGATGGTAAGTTTCAAGCAGAAGGTTATCAACGGGTGGGAAACTTTTAAACCAAAAGTTTCCGCCAATTTTTTAAGTACTTTTGAAAAAAGCATAAAAAAAATTAACGTTTGAAAAAAAAAATGTTGAAAAAAAAGGGTGTCCCGTAAAGTAGATTTGTTCCATAAAAAAAAAGTAATGCAAATTATTTTCTGAATTAAAAGTTATTTAAGATGTCGAAACATGGTGAGACACCCTTTATACATCTATCTACTTACCCTGACATTAGAAACAAATGTTTGCATTTTTAATTTCAAGTAAAATGAAGTGAAAAAATCACTTCTATGTATGTGTCGTGGTACAATTACAACAGTATCTATATCAGCACCTTTGTGATATACACCCATGCGGAAAGAACCAAATGTGCAAACTAGTCCTCCAACATTTTCTAAAATATTTTCAGGTAAGTTATGAACTATACTTATTTCTTTTATCCATTCTTTCACAAGAGTATTAAGGAATGCTAATACTTCTAACCTACACATAATCTATATGTTAAAATAGTTCATTTAATTTAATTTAGTCTTAGGTTACAATAATTAAACCTTTGTTTCAGATCTTCTTCAGTAGTAATAACTTTTTCATTATCTAATGCTTCTTCTAGAGTTTTTGTTAATTGAATGTCAATTTCATTTGGTAAGGCATTACTAATCGCAGACGTCATTCCAAACATTCTGACAATTTTTAGAAATACATTTAAAAATGAATGGGAAATTATTAACCATCACTTAAAATGGATAAGTATGCAAATAAATTTATCCTGGAAAGAACAACTCTAGATAATTATTAAAATAATATCAGTAATTAACAATTCACTGTTCTTGTACAATTTGTTGTTTACAACCTCAAAAGCTCAGAATAAACTTTAAATTGAAAATTTTCATTATTTAATTGTATAGCTGGAACTTGTATGTATAAATTTAAGTTTTATATAATGTATAATAAATTAAAAAATTAAGTAAAAAGAATATTAATAAAAAAATAATGAAAATGGTTTTACTATAATAAGAGCTCTAACACATATCCATAATTTTGTACATAAAAATTATCAAGAATACTAATATTTTAAATTCACAAATAAACAAATAAATCATCACAAACAAATAGATCATCGATTTACAATTTTCGTTTTAAAGGATACTTCACAAAATTATTACACGTTTACATGAAAATTCGAATAAAGTCACGAGTAAAACTTACACCATTTTAAATAAAATCATACTTTTTAATTTTATAAAAAAATTCAATTTCTTAACGAGATGACAGCAAATAACATTATTGAGCGTATTTGTTGAACATACAATAATTTTATTTTGAATTGGTATAAGGGGTTGAAGACGTTATTTGTTATTATTATCAATTATAAAACGTGACTACAAGATACTATTGTTGATTAGATGGGTCTATTTATCACTTTGGTATTGATAACCATTATCTTTGGAGATGTAAAAAACGGTTTTTTTCTAACTTGAAATATAATCTGAAAAAAACTGATTTATTTTTTTCATATTAAACCAATAATATCTATGTAGATGGCTGAAAAATGTTAAATTTTAGTGCCAATATTTGTAAAATTGTATTATGTAGAAAGTTATCAGTATAAAACATCATCTGTGGCGAAGTGAGATGGCTAGGAGGGCTTAGGTTCTCAATTTATAATTAGATTCCTAAATTTCTAGGGGCTAACCCCTTCTAGAAATTTAGTAAAATTATATATATTGTTATATAGAAATTATTTTTGGGTAGATCAAATTTAGCTCCATCTTAAAATTAACCATCCTATGCCTATACTTACAACAATCCAAAAATGGTACTATCTTAATATATTCATCACTATCATAACATGGGATAATAGTAGACAACCTTATTTGTGTCTACAGTGTTTTTATTTAATCTTTTCATTTAAGATAACACTTCTATTTATACATTATATTCATAGAATAACAAAAAATTTAAATAAATAACTTATAAAAATATTTAACAAACACATATTATTTAATCATATTATATTACACACGTTTCAGTTTAACATTATATAAAATGTCAAAATTATTTTTATACTATTCATCTGTAATAATTTATATATTTTATGCGTACTTATCATAAAAAATTAACATTATAAGAACGAGACAATGATGATTTTTGGAGATACAAAATATTATAAAAGGCAGAGCAATCCCTTACAATCTGGTCTGTTCTAATTGCACACGCGACATTGTCACGAAAAATTTGTCAAAATTTATCTTTAGGGCTACCTAATATGAGATATATTAGAGATTTAAACTATTACTTTTATACGTTATTAAAGTAATACCAAAATTCTTAAAAATTCTAGTTAGTCCATTTGAGATGACCGAGATATAATGATCTAATTAGTTTTAATTCCTCCACGCTAGTGAATGTACTAGTTGTTCTCCTTTTAATTATACCACTTTTGTGTTCGGACTAATTTTGAAATTACGTTTTCGTTAAACTCGTTAAATCTAGCTATTTCTTATATAATCCCCAGTTCTTTATCAAAATCTATTTTATTCATCGGGATATTAACGAATCTATAAATCATACTATTAAAGGCTATCATTTTGTGTTCCTAGCTATGATTCAAATTGTTCGGATTAAATTTCAAAATTTAGTTTCCCTTGTACTTTTTTAAACAATTAATCAAAAAGACAATTTTCCCTTTACTTCCTGTTTGTATGTGAATTTAATCAATGAGTAAAAAGAATTTAAATGTTGTAAGAAAACCTCTGTATTAAAATCTTTGCTTAATCCTGCAAAAATATCATCTACATACCTAACTCAAATTTTTGAAAAATTACCGTAGGTGTGTTTTGAATTGGTTTCGAACATACTTTTGAAAAGTTTTGCTAAAAATGGTGAGAGCAGATTTTCTATTGCTGTTCCCTCAGTTTGCTCATAAAATTTATTTTGAAACTGAAAAACATTTTGACCCATACATAATTTAGTTAAATTAATATTCTTATTTATTTAATACTGTTCTGTTTTGTGTCATTTAGTTAGTGATCAATTTTTATTATATGAGCCGTTCGCTGCAATAATAACCTAAGGTCACTTAGGTCGTTTTTCGGGCGACACTGGAAACGGGTAGATAAACTATTCATAAGTACCCCTACCAAATTTCATAAAAAAATATCAATTATTGAGGCCGTGGTGAACAAATGAATATAGGCGCGTAAATGAAAGCGCTGCGCCAATTCACAGTTGCATTCCCGTGTAACAGCTGATTAGCATAGTGCGTTAGTATACAGAGGCTTTTATAAATAACTATTGTTTAATATTATCCACTTAAAGAATAACAGCTATGGATGTATCAACATCAACAACTTCAACTTCCATGGCTAGTGACAATCCGGGGTTAAAAAGAAAGTTAAAAAATGGAAAATGGGCCCGTAACAAAAGAAAATATAAACGTAACAGCGGCAAAGCGTATAAAAATATAGCTGGAAATGATGTATCTCGCAAACAGTTTAGAAAGATAGAACATTGTTGTCGGGCCCAATGTTTTTCAAATTTTAATAGAGATTCCCAAAAAGAGTTTTTTAGAAATTTTTATGTTTCACAAGATAAAGAAAAACAGGATACTTATTTAATGAGTTGTGCACATCGTGAAGGAGTTAAACGTCATAAACTGGCTCCCGTAACAAAAAACCGAGAGTGTTCGTGGAAGTACAGTTTAAAATTACATGGAAAAGATATAAGTGTGTGTAAAGAGTTCCTTATTAGTTTATATCAAATCAGCGATGGCAGAATGAAGACCGTATTAAGGTTTTGCAAACAAGGCGTTTCCCAAGCTACAGAAAATCGTGGCAAACAGCCGAATCCTAAAAAAATACCTGATGAAGTTTGGGCCTTAGTTAAAGAGCATTGGTTCCTTATACCTCATAAAAAGTGAATAATAATTATAATTAATATAATTTTATGACTGATTATTTGAAAAAATCAATAACTTTTAGTCGTTCGCCTGAAAAACGACCTAAGTGATTTAATATTTAAACGGTTATTTAACAATTAAAACATTAAAATTTTAGTTCTTTGATCATGAATTTTCATTGTATGATACTGCTACTTACATTTGAAAAACTTAGTTTTCTAATTCTCGTCCTTCTCCTTAAAATAATACACTTTTAAATCTTTAAACCTTGTTTTCTCAAAACTATGATTTGTCACTTAGGTCATTATTGCAGCGGACGGCTCATATGATATATAATTTGTTTTAGTTTTAATTCTTAGAAAATTCGTTCACGTGTGATAAATTAAAATATTTAGTGTTTATTTAATGTATAAATTGAAAACTGAAGGAAAATGTGACCGAATCGGTAACGCAGCAGTGCTTAACGTGTTCTTCCTTTGGTTCAAAACTTCCTTATGATTATAATCATTTACCGAGCGAAAGATCAGTTCAGTAATTTGAATCGCCATCACTCTCTTTAGCGAAAGATTAACCTTCCGACGAAGTATCAATAGTTCAGAAAATTTCCCCTTTGTGGAGATCGCTTTGGCCCTTATGGACCTTTTTTAAAAAAAAGTTGTAATCTAAATAAAATGTACAATAAAATAGAGTAATTAGAACATCAATTATTGTCATAAGTAGTTGTGGTTAAGTGCTGCAATTAGGTCTCTACTAACCAAAAATGCTATGTAAATAATAGATGATGCTGTCCTAAAAAATTATAGTTTTAATACGAAGTTAAGGAGTTAATTTTACTATAATATGTTTATTTGTTTATTTAACGCTATTTTATGATTTATTTCAAGTCATTAATTAATTGAATTCTGAGGAATTTTAAAGGATTTTAGCAATATCTATTAGAAACTGTACATTATCTTATAAAAAAAATCTGTAGATTAATAAATTTATTATTTATATTTAACAAGCTTACGACCAAATACATATTATGTTATATTACAGAATGAATAGTAATTAGTAGTCAATATCAGAAATATAAATTTATATTCCTTAAGTTGTATCATTCTATTATAGTTAAAAAAAAAACAATAAAATATGCATTAAAATGTGAACTGATGTCAAAACTGTTTTTACAATTAATGTCCAACTTTTACATTAGTTATAATTTTTAAGATAGTAATGAGAAAGATTATTTAGGTTGTCAATTTTATTTCTATTACCGATTAATTTTTTTGGTGATCAACTGTAATGAATATACACTTGAACAGTTTAGTTTATGTCACTGTATATTATGTAACAAAAAACAATGTGGCGATGTGCAAAATATGAATTGTAAACTTGGTATGATAATTAGAGATAATGTACGATGTACTACATAAATTAGAATCCGTACGTCATTATACGATCTTCGTCAATAATAAAATTTTAATTAAATTTAAATAATAATTTTTTAAATATATATATATCTAATGATGATAAAGAATTATTTTTGTATCAGAAGACTGATTGAAAAGACTTAAAATTTTAACATGTATTTGTAAAAGTTAAATTCTAATTATCATATTTATGTTTGTTAATTTTTACATTAAAGAAAACTTAATACAAAAATCCTATCACAGGGGGGTCGCGGAACAGTGGTGACGTAACATAGTTGGATCAAGTGATATATGACAGTGATTAAAATCACTATAAAAACAAAATGCTTCGATGCAAATCTTTATATATTGTTTAATTTTAAAAAATTGTAATAAACCAAAAATAGAAATATAGGAAAGAAACTGAGAAAGCATAAGTTAAATATAAAAAGAAATTGGTAGTACTTAGTAAATTATTATAATTATTATTTATTATAAGTTTTTTTTGTAGAATTAATTGTTTTCTTTTTTATTTAAATTAATTTTTTTATTGATTATTTCTCTCATTAATTATTAATGGTTTATCACGCAATAGATTGCTGGAGGTTCGAAAGCATAGGTTAAATTGTACTTACCTTACGTCCTATGTAATACAATAATATTTCAAGTAATCCAGTCTTGATTTCCGCGTTAAACGTTCTACGGCATACGATTTACACTATACGTCATACAGAGTGGCCCACCACTCACTGACAACTTAAATAACTTTTGATCCAGTTAATATTTTTAGTTGATTTTTTTTTAAATAATAGTTATACGTTAGGTCTATAGCTATATCTCAATAATTAATTTTTTTACATTTTATTAAAAATATTAATTATTTTTAAATTTTAAATAAAA